TGGGGAATGAACATGTTCTTTATTTGTTTTTTTTTATTTTTTTAATTATTTTATGTTAAAATTGTAAATTTACTATTTTTCCATCTTAATATTTGGATAAAATCAATTTTTTTGTCAACTATTAGTGAAATGGATGAAATCCATTTATTTGTTCTTGTGCAATAATAAAAATGAAAGGTTTGAGATTATGAGTAGTACACAGTGAATGCTTGGGTAAAGTTTGTAAACAAAAAAAAAAAAGTTTGAAATCGCAGCTGCAATTATTCCAAGTGATAATGTTTAATGGTTATGAACATTTCATACAATTAAAATGTAATCAGTAATCTAGTTGTTAAAAACCATTTGCGAATATATTTAGCAAAAAGTGAACATAATAAAATGTGTTGGTAAATGGTGTGTCCAATTGGAACAATAACGGCTAGTTTTTCAATTTTAATCCCGCCCAAACAAGCTCTAAGCCTTGTTTGGGCTCCATTAAAATAAGGTTTCGAGAAAATGTATTTTGAAATAAAGATTTTTTGAAGAAAGTATGGTTAAAAAAGAGTAAAGATATCTAGCATAACTGGTGTTAAAACACCAGCTTGTGTGGCACTAGTCGACATTAAATAAGAAGTACAATTAAGAAGGTTATTTAATTTCATCTTTCACTGAGTGTATCATAAATCATTAGCTAAACTGGTGTTATAGCAATGGTGGCGTTATATAGTACTATTTGTTAAAAACGTTTTAAATTTACGTGTAAAATTATTTTATAAGAGAATGTGTAAGTTTAAAAAAAAATGTATTTTTGAAAAATGATCCCAAACAAGGCTACAAATTCCATAACCATAATTACAAGACCTGGCCAGCGTGACTCGAGCCGACTAGATTAATTTGATAGAAAAGTACTTGATTCGGTCAAAATCGGGTTTTGATCAAGTTAACCTGCGATTTAACCGGCTCGATTGACCCATTTTTTAAATCCTCTTGGAAAATTTTTGGGTCCAAGGTACTCCAAGAAAAATAATGGGTTTCTCACCACTTGAACACAAAGTTCTGTAATATTATTTATGTGCAATAACTTATATCTATCTAACGAATCATTTATAGGTTTTTAAAAATACTTTGGTCTAACATTTTAATTTATTTTATAGACCCAAATAATTAGTGAAAAATAATTTAAAAAACTTTAATTTTGCCTAAAAAAATTATACTTTATATTTATTGTAGTTTTTTATGCAATGACTCATCGATCCGATCATTGACACGCCAGTTCGACCAGTAATCCAAGACCCAATACCTAGTTCATGTTGATTTTCAGATCTAGTCGAATAACTACGGTCCTAACCATGTTTGTCAACATTTGCTATTACTTAAAAGAGACAAAAATTAGCACGATTGTCGTGGGAGTTTGTGTTTGTGCATCATTCTATTTTCTTCGTACAGTTAAGAACATTCATTGTGGTCCCGCTTCTACTTATCTACGCGCCGACTTCAACTTCAACTTCCCTCTCTCTCCCGTGTCCACTTTCATTTAGAGAGAGATAAATGAGTCAAAATTCGACTTTTAGTTTTGGGATTTAAAAGCTTCTATTTTACGGTTGAGAAACACTGTCATAATTGTGGTGGTTGGGGTGTGTGTGTGTGTGTGTTTTTTTTGAGAGAGTTGAGGATGGAAAATAGCAAGAAGGAGAAGAAGAATATTCTGGTGAAAAAGAAAATACTTGGTGTTAAAGAAAAGATCTTCTCATCGGCTTCGTTTTCTTCCTAGGTTCATCTATTTCCTCACTTCCACTCATTTTCTTGCTTCGTTCTAGTTCATTTCTCTCTGTAGTATACGTTAATATACATATATCTATAGAGTGATAGAAACGGAAGAGAGAGATCGATAAATTATGATAAATAGTTTGATGTGATTCTGATCTGTGTTTAATCAAATCGGTTTTGTACAAATTCTGTGCAGACTTAGAATTTATCTTTCAGGTCAGTTTGTACAAATGGTTTTAATCAATAAATGCATCTTTCCTTGCTTGCTAAATCATGACTTAAAATTTGGAGGGATTGTTTGGCATCAGTTCAAGATTGTATAAAATACCATTTTCTGAAACATTTGTTTACCCAAATATTTCCCATGACTTGGGTGATTTACTTGATTTTTTTTACAATATGTGTATCTATTATCCATTTATTGTTGGCTATCACCATCAAAACTTGACATTTCTTTGTAGATAATTCATGGCTGCATTAAAGAAATGGTGATCTAAAATTTGTAAAGTCAATTTGGCAATTTATTTGATTCATTTTTATTTATTAAATTCAAATAGTTTTCTCTTTTTTCTAGAAAAAAGATTTTATCTTAGTTATCTATTGCAAGAGGACTAGGGAAACATACAAATCTATTGTGTAAACTAGAAAAGGAAAACTTGGTAGAAATTTCCTAGATTTCCAATGTAAAATCACTGAAAGAGTAGATTTGTCCTTTAACAATCTCAATTTGTAACTGAAAAATGTAGTGAAATAAAGCTTTTTTGAAGTAAGAGACAAAACTTATTCAGTTTTGCATGATTTGATGAATAGCTAGTGGGGTTAAGCGATAATTTTTTCTTGTTATGTTTTACACAGAGTTGATTGTTCAATTTTTTCCCCCTTTTTTGTTCATTCATTGTACAGAAATAACGATCTTTTTCCAGACTTCCTATACATGTTACAACCCCAAAGAATGGTCTGCATTCCGCCTCTGGATATCCTTCAGAAGAATTCTGAACCATTCTTACTGATATATAGCAGAAGTCTTCTACTAACGTTGAACTATCAAATAATCTTAGTCAATCACCAAGGTGATTTTTGATTGAAGAGAAACACAGGTTCTTGTGGAAGCATAAATCTACAATATAAATGAGGCAAACATGAAAATTTCTACGATTTTACACACTTGTCATTATCTTGCAGTTCTCTTGTAAAGTGTTTTTGTGCCATGAATGTGTCTACATATATACTATAAAATTCACTTCTCCTGGTTTCCAATAGATTTTGGCATTTAAGCAACATCAGGCTCGTTGGATATCTTGTTCATACATATCTTCTCGTCGTTTCCCCGCCGCCTTTAGTTACAGGTAGAGTTAAAAAGGGTTTAATCTTTGATGATTCAGTAAGCCAAATATCAGGTGAAAATGAGTGCTCAACCAACCACAAAAGTCCGACTGGTTAGATGTCCTAGATGCCATCAAGTTCTTGCAGAGTTGCCGGATGTTCCTCTATACACATGTGGAGGATGTGGTACAATTCTCCAAGGTACAGACTTTCTCACTTTCACTAATCACATATATGGATAGTATTATTTTGTTTCTCGATATTTATTTGAACTTAATCTTACTATTTGAAGCATGATGTCTTGTGGGATGATCATAGGGATGTCAACGAGTAGAGTAGAGTCGAGTCGAGTCAAAACTCGGAGCTCGGGCTTGGCTCGAGTAAAAATAGTTGGGTTTTTTTTTTTGCCCGAGCCGAGCCGAGCTTTTGCTTGGCCAAAAATTTAGGCTCAGGCCTTAGCGAGCCGAGCCGGCTATTTTAAAAAAAAATTCGTGACAAATCTAAATTTTTTTTAAAGAATTTAAATTTTGTGCAATTTATACGAGTTATAAATTAAATACTAGAGCAAAGAAATTGGAGATCGAAATTGAAACTAGAATACTGCAAGTTAAAATTAATTGAAGTAAATTGATATGAAATTCAAAATTTTACCTAATATTTATAGCAAAAAAATATAACTGTTTCAACCAAATTTGAATTTGAATTTTGACATGATTTAACACTGTAAAAAAAGTACCGCAGCTACAAAAAAAAATATCCGTTTCAATTTATTATTATTTTATTATTATTTTTTTTTAAGTTTTGCATTCTTTTTTTTGTGGCAAGGCTCGTCACGGGCCAAAAATAGCCCGTGTGGATCGTCAAGCCATACAGGTTGGCTTGGGCTTGAGTCGACTTCCCAAAATGGGTCTTGGCCGGAGCCTCGGCTTGGTTCTATCGAGCCACTAGCCTGGCCAGCTCGGGCTTTTTACCGGCCGAGCCACGGGCCGCCGAGCTGGCAAGCCAAATTGCCACCCCTAGATGATCAGTATGGCATTTAAAGATTGAAAATTAGTTAGAAATGTGTAATTATGATATTTTCTTGTTATCTAGTCCCGAAAATGATCAATGTTGCAATTCAGAGACTTGGGCATGGGAGAAATTAAGAATTAAAGCTGCAAAATGTTGGGTGCATGAAGCCAAACCATACTATAATTCAATGTGTGGAGCATAATTATACTGTGATGGACACTGGGGAACCTAACGTTAAAGGTTTTTAAGGGGCTGGTTTTATGGGTGCAAGATAGGGAGGCTCTGTAATCTTCTTCATTGAAGTGAAAATCTGTAAACAGGAATGTGGACGTAACTCTCACATTGAGGGTGAGCCGCTACGAATTTGTCCTTGCTCTTTTCTGATTATATTACTTTCAATGGTAAAGATAGATTAATCCATAACACCAATACCTCAATCCTTATAGTGATACTTTGTGGCCTTATTTTCTACTGCCTATCTGTGGTTGCGTTTCTCATGTTCCTTCTGTTTTTGCCTGCATACAGCTAAAAACCAGAAAAATGAATCCAACGATGCAAATGTACACGTACAAGAAACAGATACTATTGTAAACACTAAACAGGATCGTGATACAGAAGAGAAGGAAGAGACCGGCTCTAATCAAGATTTAGCGCCTCTCTTGAGTGGAGAATCCTCGCCAGAAAAAGACAACACGGGAGTTCACGGTGAACATGAAAAAAGCGTCTCTGTTGATATTTCTAGCTCACCTGAGATTAACTATTTCAAGAGCAAAGATTCATCCGCTGATGTCAGAAAATCTTTGAAGCAGGATGAGGGCAAATATCCTTTGGAGCAAAATACCGACAGATTTGATTCCAGGTTTTTACAGGATTACGATAGGGAATGTAGTAGAGGCAGAAACTTGTCTGATGAATCTCCTAGCTCAAGTGAGTTTAATTGTCATGTGGTCGAAGTGTTGACTCAAGAAGTTAGACAACGTATGGAATGGGATAATACGATTCCTTTGGACGAATGCCATGGAAGGAATTCAATGGAAGTTGGAGAAAACACAGAAGGGAACAAAAGTCAATATCTTGTACCAGAAAATGATGTTAATAATCAGAATATTTCAGGAAGTCTAGGAACTTCATCAAGTTCAGCTGGACGAACTACTGAAGTCAATGAGGATATCAAGAATCATCCAAACTTTAGAAGCTTGAGCAAAGAAAACAATATGAACACACATACTGGAGATGTGTTTATTGCTGCTCAAATCCCCTTGAGTGAGACCACTGTGTCAGTTGATTTCCTCACTTCCGATAGTGAACATATGGAGCATTCCCGAAGTCCTCAAAACTTTGGCAGAGCAAGCTCGGTAGATACTTTGGGAAGTTCGCGTCTTGTTGATCCTATTACTAATCTCAGTGTTAAACGTGGGGATATGTTTAAATCTCCAACAATCAGAACTTATTATGCTTATGATGGTAGCGTATCGTCTTATGAGGGAACCGATGATCAAATCCCCAACCATGTTTTACAACCTTCCAGAAGAAAATTCGAGTTGCCTGAAACGAGAAGATATGACTACGCCAATGGAAACAGGACAAGGTTTGATGAAGAAGGTACTTCTCGCTCACCATTCAGTTCCAGCGATTTCTTGGAAAATCACGAAAGTGGAAATGGAAAAGGAAAATCTTTGGGTTATCAGCATAATCTGTTTGAACATCATCCTGGCTTTTACTCACCAGACAAGCCTTCTTACTCCGAACCAGACAAAATGGACTTGCTGAGAATGGTATATGAACTCAAAGATCAGCTCCACGGGATGCGGTTTTCAAATGATATGACAAATGGAAGGTTTCCTGCTATCATGGATGAAAAGTGTACTCCGTTGTACTATGATCATGTAGTACCAGAAAGGGAGATGCATGCAGATTTGAACCATCCTACGTATCAAATGAGACAAGGTCAAGTACAAGGTTGGCCCGGACAATGCAGAGCCTCGAGAACACCATATCACGGGGACACTGCACACTACAATCGCCAACTCAACTGCTCTTGTGTGCACTGTTTTCCCCAAGACTGGCACTGCTCACCACAGTTTTCTTCACATTCCATGTGCTATGACAGTGCTCATTCCATTGCCTTGAGTTCCTCGACTCCCCAGCATTACATGAGCTCCAAGGTTTCATTATTGGATGACGAGATGAAAAGGTCATATTCGAGGGAGAAATATCAGGTAGCAAAGCGATATATCCGGCCTATAGCTGGTGGAGCCCCACTTCTTGCTTGTTATCAATGCTCGGAATTGTTGCAGCTACCGGCAAACTTTCTCTTATTCGAGAAAAAAATTCATCGACTGAGATGTAATGCTTGTCGGGAAGTTCTGAAATTCTCACTTCTGAAAGGAACAAATATAGTTCAATACGTTCCTGATGTTTTTTCCCCTCCACGAAGTGAGGTTGACAATTACAATGACGCTACCAGTAAGACAAACCCGGTACCAATCTCTCGTTCCAATCCTCGACCAAATGCTAAGCATGTTCTGTATTCTGATGATAATGAGCAGTCCTGTAGAAGTAGTTCTACAGAAGGAGAGGCTTCACTTACGAGATCTTCATATGACCGGCTTCAGATGAACACGTCCAATAACAAGATAGCATCTGTTAATGAGTCGATGGGAGATAGAAAAATGAAGTCCACCTTGAGGGAGTCTCAGACCAAGGAGAATTTAACAAACACTAAAGAATCCACCAGTACTTCATCGAAGATGCCCAAGTGGAAGAAAGAATCTGCAGAGATCGAAGGTTCTCCACTTCTCCAGCTTATGGGATATTCTTCCTTAAGTCAAGTATTAAAATAAGTAATTTCCTAGCATATCCAGAACGAGTCAAGGGATTTTCTTCTTTAAAGTGAAAGGTCTGTTTAAATTTATACAGTTACAAAATAAGTTTGATTCCTGTAAGTTGCACCGTCTCCATCAAATTTATCATGTATCGATCCGTCAGAAGAAAAAAATTTCCACTGCATTTTTCTTTTCCATTTTTCCATTGGACATGTTTTGTATAGCCGAATACAACCAAGACAAGCCATCTTATAGTACGAGGTCTATGTTGATTGTTGTATATTTAGTTGTCTCTAACAATTTATTTATTGAGACAGAAAAATGGTTTGGCATATGATTAAATACGAGTTCTTTTTTATTATTTCTTTAACAATGTAAGGTGTTAGAGAATCTCGCAACTTTAGTGAGAGAAACATTCACTTTAGTCGCCCCTGAGCTCATTGATTTTGTTCGATTTTACCTTCATCACTTGGAATTTCGAATCTAGCATTGCAGATTTTGTAAAATCTGTCCAGATTAAAAGTGTTATGTTTGAAGATTTCAAGTGTCTTGGAGGTTTGAAGACCGGCCAGAATGGTTAAGCATTGGCCATGAGAAGTTTCAAGTTTTTCATCTCCCCTTGGAAGATTTGAAAACGGTCAGCAGGTCATATGCATTGTTTATGAAGTGTTTTTCCCAAATTTTTGCCCAGATTCTTGGTGCTTCTCTTTGAATATTTAAAGCTTCATTGAAGTTTTGAAGTCCGTCCAGCAGGGTGTTAGCTTTACTCATCCAGTTTTCTTGGGTATTTTGAAGCTTAGTCGCGGAACCCAGCTTCTTGGCAAATTCGTTTTGCTTGAAGATTCATACGTTGTGGTAGATCGAAACTGGGTCAGCAGGTTTTGATTCACCATTGAAGATTCAGGTTCTTGTTTAGCTGTGTTTTACTTGATTGGGCAATGAATTCAAACTTGTTTTTGTAAACTTGAATCAATTGCAGTAATTCTGCACAGTTGACTAATTTTGCAGTATTATCTTTCCTGTTTAGGCATAAAATTCAAAATTTTTTGAACTTTATTAGCCAAAATTCAAAAACTTCCCATAATTATTTTCAAACTCCAGTCTGTTTAGGCATTGATTTCGTCCCCCACACACCTGTTGGGTTTAAGTCCACTTGATGTGGGCTTAGGCTTTAATAAAAGCCCAAAACAAACAACAAAGCCCAAAACAAATCAAAACATATAAGAGTGCATAAGTGGAGGTGTGTTGAAGTCGGTAGAAACACACAAAACACATACAAGCAGCAATCGACAGAAAAAAACAGAGAAAAACAG